TAGCTTGTGGATCTCTTACAAGGTAACTGTGCATTTTGTGAAAAGTAACCATGCACCTAGAGTGCATTCCCAGTGAATGTTCTTCCTTGCTTGTAGAGTATGAGCAGAGTCACCTGCTCAGTGCAAATATGTGGCCACACAACTTGCCACATAACATGCCTTTTACCCCCACCCCGTTGATGAAGAAATTTCCATGTACACCACACTGTCCACAATGTCTATTTTTGGCCATCTTTTGCTTGTCCAGCCATCGTTTTGCCTGCCCCCCTCCCAGTCTGCATATTGTTCTGTTTTATTCCCATAAAAGGAAGTTCATTGAGTTTCCTTCACCAGATCCCTTATTGCCACCCTTAAAAAGACAGAGCAGGAGGTAGTGAGAATGCTATCAGCAGCACTGAACTGTGAGGAGCGATCATCTACTCAGAAGGCAAAAACCAGCTGCTAAGCTGCTTTATCTCCTTAGGTACTCTGCTGGAGGGGAGTCAGTGCAAGTCTGGCAGGCTGGGGTGCTTGGAAGAGGAGGTGGCAGAGGTGTCATGTCAGGTGTGGTTCCTAACCCTGGCTGGAGCCCAGCAATGTACCATTGATTTATATAATAGCATTATATTTTCTGACTCCTTCTTTATACAGCCTATCATTTTGTTTCCTTTTCTGTCTACCAATGTATCATGAGCAGCAGTTTTTGTTGGAACTGTCCACAGTGACCACCTCTGGTCTTTTTCCTGAATGGTTACAGGTCATTTAAAACCCAGCAATATGTATGAGTATTTCAACTTAGTGTAATTATTATAGCTGCTCACTGCTGGACCCTAAGATACGAGTAGCATATGAGTACTGCAACCCCGGGGCAAGTTCTGAAGGCACTTCAGCTGCTAGGCTTTGTAGGTGACTTTACAGATTGCCTTGTAGGTGGTGGTGAGCTCTATTATTGGGGCCACTATGGTTGCCATGAAGGCCTGCAGGGATTCACTCCAAAACAAGAAAATATCACTCCCATCAACTCCCTCCCCATACACTGTTCCCCCTGGGGTTCCCTGGCTTCTGTTGAAGCCTGCTCTGCATGCAGTTCTGTGGGCTGTTCTCCCTGCATCCTGCTTCCCTGATGCTCCTCGTTTGCCATGCCACCACTGCCTACCCAAAGTGCCAGGTGACTTCCTGGGTCACAGTATTTTCATAGAGTTTCTGCCTCCTATCTGGCCGGAAGGTGATGTGCGGGGTGGACTCTGATCCCGATTCCACCCCCCACATGGACTTATCGGAGCCCAAATAAACATTTCTGACTTGAGCATTGAGCAACTAGTGATTGATTTGTATTTCATGAGGCCACACCTATATGGGTGGGCATCCAGGACTTTGAGAAGAATCATATTGGGCAGATGGAAGCATAGTGCCTGGCACAAAAACAATGTGCAGCTCAATCAGAGAGCCTAGGCAAATTTTGGTAAACGTTCTGTGACCAGTGTGGTAAACGTTCTTCCCGAATTGGTCTCTGGAGTCATGTATAAGACCCATTAGTACAAACTATGATTGTCAACATTGTCCTTGAAATAGAGGTGACTAACATCAGTTTTCTGTGTACTGGATTCATCACACTGTGCCTTCCAATGTTTATTACCTTGTGTTGGTATGACAGAGGTCCAATGGTGGTTCACTACTCTGTGAGAGGCCTGTCCTACTTACTACACCTAACACATTGTTGTCATGATATAAATCCAAATATATCATGGGAAATGTAATATACCATTGGAAAACTAATAACTCACTGATCATTAATATTCTTGCATGATGTATGTATGAGGTGTGTACAAAATGTTATAAATATGTCCTAGAATTATGTTCTTAAAATGTGTTTGGCACACAATGCATAAGTCCAGTTTGTCCTAGACGGAAGAATGTATATTTGCTGTCTAACCTTCCTCGTCATCAGGCAGAGACACTGAAGGTATATTTACATAAAGGGTGAACAAAGCTATCAACCTAGAGAGTTGTGGGAGATTGTTAAGAAACTATCTCAACAGGTGATGTCCACTCCCAGGAGGACTTCCTGTCTCTTGAAGGAGGATCAATGAACTTTGGGAAGACAGAATGGTGTCTTCTCCCCAGCAAGATAAAGAAGTGTTGTCTGGGCATCCATCACTTGAGAGGTTCAAGGGGCCAGAACTCTTGAAATCACAGAGCATTGGATCCTTCAACCAAGGGGTTCGAAGTCTCTGGAACTGAGTACGGTGAGAAACCTGCTTAGGCAAAGCTTGTAACTTGCTGGCATTAAGTATTAGTCTTTAGAAGAGTATTTTTTTAATTTTGTTTGTTTGAAGCCCTTTATATCTTCATTCCTGATCCTTGGTATCACTGAAACCTATGAATTTTTGTTTAATAAACTTGTTTGACTGTTACTATAAACCAATGCAGTGCTGTGATTGAAATGAGTGTTTGTCAACCCCCAGTTAAATTAATGAGCTGCGATGTATTGTCTATTTAAAGGAGCAACACATTTAATCACTTCTGTAAATGTTCAGTTAGAGGGCTAGACACTGCAGGGTGACAGTTTTTGGGGAAGTTCAAGATTGGAAAGGTTTTGGGGTCACTTCTCAAAAAGTAATAGTGGTGGAAGCCAGGGTATGACCTGCATGCTTGGCACCAGAGTTGTGGGGCAGGCAGTGACACAACGCCTTACTGGTCTGGGTTGAATCCCAAAGCGTCATAATTGGTCAATGCAATTTCATCTGCCACTGTGTTGCTTAGTCACCTAGCTTACTTAGGTCCCTCTGAATTTCCTGACAGTCTTCTCTTGACTAATCTCAATTTTGGGTCATTTTAAGGGTACCCCAACTGTCAGCCTTTTGCCAAGTTGGAAAGTGTTGGTTTTCTTTTTCTCATGCAGTTTCTAATCTTGTCAAGCTCTGAAAAATGGATCTGTTGAAGACTGTCAAATCATTTTGCAATAATTTAATACTTCCATACAATTCCTAGTGGGTGGGAATGTAGAATGAGTCACACATGTAGCGGCTGCTCTGCTGAGGAAAAATGATTTCCTGGGTATGCCAGGATTACAGTACGAGGAATTCTTTATACCTTTCAGTCTCACCCTGAGGTTCCTCACAGTACATTTGAATGTGAACAGTATTGTTCTGTATGCAATTTTAAAAATTCCCTGTGGGTGTTCTGCAGGAGGGGGAGTCCGCAGGGAGGAAAAGACAACAGACTAAAAGAGAGGAAAGGGGGCAGAACAGAAGGAAACAGGCATACTGAGAAGGGGGAAAATGCACGGAATAGTTAAGGATGGGGATTCTTGAGGATGGGGGAGAAGCAGAAGGGAGACAATGGAGATAGTGATCCAGCACAGAGGTCCCACTAAATTCCACAAAAAGGGTCACCCATTCTTTACCTGTTTAGTGAGTACGGTTTATGGCATTTGTTTTCTCCTGATCGAGGATGTGATGCTGCACCCAATATTCTAGACCCCATATTCTTCACAGTCATATTATTATATGGTTATGACAATTATGATGCATTTTGTGCAAGATAAGTCATGTGAGGTACCATTGAAAAGTTAAGATTTGCTGAATATGATTATCCCATTTGTACGCATGTATCATTTTTGTATCTGAAGTTCAGATACATAGTCAATATTCAGTATTTCAAATGTAGTTACACCTGGGTAATGCCCACTAGACAAGATGCTTTGAGTCTAGATAGCTGGTTGGGAAGAGTCTATTCAGGGCAATGAGCCATTAGGGAAAACAATAGGCCTTAGAAGAAGCTATCTCCTACCTGGTGAGCCTTCTTGAGAACCCTCCAGACAACCTGTAAGTAATGGCTGCTATGACTCTACAAGGCTATGTGACCAGGCCACATGATTCTGGAGTCCATCTTGGGATGTCAGTATTTTTCCACAAACCGGTCTGGGAACCAAGTTTTGAAACAAAGGGTTCCCATCATATGCTAATGCTATATAAGGCAGGGAGTGACATCATCTTTGGTTCTTCACTCCCCACACAAGAAGACACCTGGAAACACCTGAGGAACAAAGACTGAACTAGGGGAAGTGCTGGACCTAGGCTAAAGTCTGTGTATGAAAGACCTGGGGATTCCAAGCTGTAAAGCAAGTGCAGCTTGTCCCTTAAGAATCTGCATCCCACCTGTCTCATCAGCCAGGGTGAGGATTTGCTAGTTCATATCCTATCTTTCTAGTATCTTAGACTTAGTTCACATTTTATTTACTAAGTAATCTGCTTTGATCTATTTCCTATCACTTATAATCACTTAAAATCTAATTTATTTTATGTTTTAATCTAAACCAGTAAGCTTTGACTGGAGTGCTTGGGGAAAATCTCTGCTTGGTTACCACAAGTGTGCATTGTTCTTTTCACATTAAGGGAGAGGTGGACTGGGTATTAAACCCATAAACTGGCCAGATTTGACCAGGGCAGGATGGTACTGCTCTGGGGTCCTAGGCTGGGAAGCTGCTGTTTGAGAGCCTGTGTGTAAGTGCAGCGGGGTGTGTCCCTACTTGTGTGAATGCTGGTGAAAGTGCAGGCTGGAGGTCTTTGCAGCTTGTCACAGCAGCATAGTGTGAGAGGGAGCCCAGGCTGGTGGGTCAGAGGGCTCAGTGGTACCCCAGCTCCAGGTGGCACCCCAGGGGGACCCGTCAAAGAGGAATCTCAGCAACTGACACATTTTAAAGAAAATGCAAAGTGGCATGTCAATAATAATATAGGTGTCATGGAAACTAGAGATAAAAATAACCTACTAGATTATTGAGTGCACCCCTGCTGGGGCAAGTTTGTGCCTTATACTTTTTCCTCTAATGCTCTGACCAGTATAATTTTTAATGTCCTTAGTGCAGGGCTTTAATAACTACATTTCCCAGCTAACCTCACTCACTCATCTTCCCTCTCCAAAGTCCTGGAGAGCGATTTTTCAGGAAGCCTAGCTGGCTATTGATATAGTCTCTCTACTAGAGGGCTCTGAATGTGGATGAGGAGAGATGGGAGGAGCGTGAATTCACTTAAGCTACAGCAAACCACCCAATGCAGTAAAAGATCCTGAAGGCTAACGGAAGCCAGTAAAACACAATGCAGTACTGAGGAAGCAGCAGCAATGCACGGCTGGACATAGAACACACAGGACGGCGAGAGCGCAAAGCTGCTCAATATTGCACCATGCTGACCTGTCTCTGATAATTTCCAAGGCGGGTGGGTGGGGGGAACTGAAGGACACAGCCATGCAGCCGGCTGCTTACCTGCTCTCCTTGATGCTCTGTGCCTTGGGGACCTTCTTTCTGGTTCATTCCAGGCAGGCAGGTAAGTTACCACCGTTTACGATTGCCGCATGCAATGACCTTTAATTGGGGGCTTACCCTTTCCAATGGTAACTATGTGTCTGGCAGGTGCATGGTAGGAACCACACCGGTGCAATTAACACATCATGCAGCTGCTACGAACACGAGCTACATTTCATGTCTATGTGTTTGGAGGCGGGAGGCGGTGTGTGTAAGGGTACATTTTTAAAAGGCCCCATTAAGATGGAGATCTTGCCCGCACCACATCGCTGTCTGTGCCCTGTGAGCTGTAAGCATGGCTCAGAGACACTATTCCCCCCTTCCACGCAGAGTGAGAGCGAGTGAGATGGGGGGTATTTGTAATTATAGCGAGCACAGCTTAGCATAGCGTGGCCAGCTGGGTGATCGTGTGCATTTCTCCCTCCCCAAGGAGCCGCCTTGTTGACGGAGATGGAGAGAAGGGCTGAAAACCGATTTCTGGAGAGGCAGAATATCGTCCCCCTCCGCCTGATCCCCCGCCCGGAAGACGGCACCCAGACTGGGCACGGGGTGCTCAACACTCGGGTCAGCAGCCGCTCGGATCGGAAGCAGGTCAGGAGGGTGGCTGGGTTCTCGCGATCGGCTCGGGCTTTTTAAGTGGTGGGAGCCGGTGTAGAGAGCTGTTTGTGCTGCTACACCGGCAGCCGAGTATTTGGTGTCTTGTTGCCCCGGAGACGTGTCTTCGGTGAAATGGGCTCTTTCCAAATGCTAGTCATGTATGATGCTGCGCCATGCATAGAAATCACAGCAAAGGGGGAGGGGGCTTTGCAGTCGACCCACCAATGAGGTACACAGGATGCAGTTATCAACATTGCACTGATCATCCCAAAGCTCTCCTGCTGCTGAGAGTGACCCTCTCTGCCTTAGTCAATAGCAAGAAGGGGTGACGCTGGGTTAGCTCAGGTTATTCTTTTAAACCTATTTTAGGTGTGGGGAGGGTTTCATAGCTAAGTAGCCCCTTGGCTGAGGTACAGGCAATTGTAATAGACCAAATGATCCTTTACTGCATGTTCCCTGAGTGTGGCTGATCTATGAATGCCGGGAAGATGTGCGTCTTCCAACTTCCTGCATCAGTGACACTCTGAAGTTAGGTAGATTCATTTGCTTTTAAGAATATGGGTGCATTTAACTCAGATTTTAAAAATAGGAAAGCTTTGTTTTACTCTGGAATGCCATGTTAGTACCTTTGTACAATCAGAACAGAATCACTTTCACAGAAAAAGTAAGAAATTGTGTTTAGAAAGGTGTTTGTAATCCAGACAGAGGAATGTACCAGGAGGGTACCAAGTACATCAGATAAAAGCAGTATTTACTTTAAAATGTTTTCTCACTGAGATGCATATCTCATTTCCTGTGGGTCCTAGGGGACAGTAACCCTACTGCAGCGCTATAAACATTAACCCAGAAATTGAAGGGATAGTTCCATTGCCTTTTTTATTTCTTTTCATTTAAAATGGTCCCTAGGTGCTTTTTTGGAGATGATTTCTAGCTTTTTGAATCTAATTGAGGATTTGTATAGAAAGGCTGATTTTCTTTGCTTGTTTGTTTGTTTTTTAAATTCACCAAGAGGAAGAAAGAAATTTATTTGCAACAACTTTGCTGAAGAATTACTCACAGCAGTAAATTAGTGCAATGTCAGTTTTTGAATGCATTTTGTGCATTATGATTGTGTTTAATGAGCATGGACATACTTATTAAAATTGAAACAAAAATACAGTAATTGATAATATAAAAAAGTAAACTGATTGCAAGTGTTCACTGTTTAGGTACTAATGTGAAACCACTTATATATAAACTATCACTACAAAACTAATACTAATGGAAATAATTTTAGTCAATGTAAATCCAATTAAATATACTATGTGTTTTGATATGGATATCTTTTTACCTAATATTACAAAACGTTTCTCAGAACATGTTGTCATGGACTAAGATCCTGGAATAATCATGCATTCTAGGTGACTGTTGCAATCCCAGATCCTGGTAGGCTTAATTTTCCATCCAAAATATATACATAGTGAATTTTTACATTCTTTGGTTTCTTCTTCTGACAAACTTTGAAGGAAGTTCTGGCAATTTGTGTTCTCTTTGTCTGATTCAATAATACATTGTTTCTTCATAGCACATTCAGTTACCTGTATGCATCATTTATTTTCATCCTATGTGAATTTCCTCGTGCTGAGACTATATTTATGACATGATATAGTACAATGTTTTCAGCAGTTTTAAATGCTTTCAAAATGTGTATAATTTAAAAAATCAAATAAATTGTGTCTTAGTATTTCAAAGTCACTTGTGGACCCCTGAAGTTTTTGAACCCTTCACATATGGCAATAGCACATGCCACATCTGTTACAAATATCTAAACTTGCAATCAAGTACAACATTACAGTTCAAAATAGTGGCCTGGATCTCTGCCTAAACTGGAGACTAGCATGCCTCCTAGTTTCTTGAATAGTCTTTGTCTTTCCATACATATGATTTCAGATCTTTTATTTACCAACCTTGATGCTCCTGAAAAATTTGATGTCGCATTTCATCCATGTTTGACAAAGTCATTATGCAATGTTAATCTCATCCCTTTCACTCACAAGAGAAATATCTGTTGACTTAACAACATAAAAAGTTTAATTGTATTTTCAGCGTAGTTTCTACACTGAGGCAAGCTTTAAAAAATTATGTTAAGTGATCAATTTTCTTCCAACCTGCTGATTGCTAAAATATCAGTGTGCAACTAGAAGCTTTCCTGCTTCATAAATAAGCCTCCTTCTGTGACCTGATCCACTCATTGTCCTTCCCATGGTATAGTAGCTGGCTGTTGCCCCATTGAAGGAGTCAGTAATTAGTAGTGATGGGAAGGGACGTTTGGAATATAAACAGACCAAAAACAATGCACTGATTTTATATAGTTTTCTTATAGAAGGATGGGTGCTTCTTAATTGAAAAGGGCATTGCACTGCCTCATCCCGGAGCTCTGAGTCATCTTGACAACATATGATCTGCAGCACTGTTACATTTGCTTAAAGAAAGCTTTGAAGAGCTGCCTGTTTGGAAAGTATTTTTGCAGCAGTATAAAGTCTGAAAAGTGTATTATTGCAGTTGGACAATTCAATATGCTGGCTATTACGGTGCAACATCCCACAATAAAACTTTACATTACTGCTGCCAAAACTCCTACCAAAATTGCAGCTAACAGAGTTAACTTTTGGGTTTGCTTCTACCTAGTGGCTCAGCAAAAGTTAAGTACCTTATAAAATTACATTATACATTTATTATTGAATTATTAATTGCCTTCTGGTAGTGCCTGCAGTGTGCTAGATGCTGTTCACACCCACACAGTCTCTGCCTGAAAGAGTTTATAGTCTAGGAAGACAAGTGACGTTTAAAGGATTGGAGAACAAGGACACAATCAAAATAAATACAATTTGTATATATACTTTTAAATTATTATTAGATACATATTACTTATTTCTGACTGTTCTTCATTCTATCCATGACTAGTGGGCCAGTTTCTTGTAGGAGTTATGAAAGAGAATGAGTCTTGAGCAGAGACTTGAAGGAAAGGATTAGTTATGAATTAATTCAGGAAGGACTTTCCATGCATAAGTGGCAGCGTTCAAAAAGGCACCAAAGTGGTTGTAGGAGAAGCAGTGAAGGCTAGCATCTTTGGCAGAGCAGTAGTAATGGGCATAGGGACAACATAAGAGATGGGCAGATGTGTATGGAGGGCAGAGCTTTGTAAGGTCTTGAAGGCTGGGACAACAAGCTTGTACTGGATATGGTGGGAAAGGAAAATGGGGAGCCAGAGGAGGTATGGATGGGGGTGACATGATCACAGAACACTGGAGAAGGAAGATGATTTTAGCAGCTGTGTTTGAATTGATTAAAGATAGGAGGGATAGGGAGATATAGGTGTCAGGGAAGCTAGAGAGGAGGAAGTTATACACCTCTACCCCGATATAACGCGACCTGATATAACATGAATTTGGATATAACGCGGTAAAGCAGTGCTCCGAGGGGCCGGAGCTGTGCACTCTGGTGGATCAAAGCAAGTTCAATATAACACGGTTTCACCTATAATGCGATAAGATTTTTTGGCTCCCGAGGACAGCGTTATATCGGGGTAGAGGTGTACTAATTAATATGGGATATGATTAAGGCTGAATGAAAGTTTTACCTGTGTTACTAGAAAGAAGAGGTTAGATCTTAAACACAGAACTGAGTAGAAAGCTATAAGATCTGGACCTAGCCTGGATGTGTGGGTTAAGGGATAGGGAAGAGTGAAAGATGACTCCTAGATTATGGACTTGAGTGACAGAGAGGTTGATGGAATTATTGATAGTAACAATGGAGAGAAGGGGAAGGGTATAGGAAGAAATATAAATAGTTTGTTTTTAGCCATGTTGTTTAAGCTGTTATTGAGATGTTCAGGAGTAGATGTAAGAGGTCTAGTGGAGATTTGGGATTGGATTGAGGGAGACAGGTCAGGACCAGAAAGGTAGATTTCTGAATCATTGGCATAAAGATGGTAGCTGAAATCATGTGAGTGAATGAGATTGCACAACAAGATGGTATAAAGGGAATAGAGATTCCTATAGAGATTGGGTTCTCCTCTCTTTTCCTACAGAAAGAGAGCTGAAGGTATTAGGAGAGCAAGGAGAGGATGAAGATACAGAAGTTCAAGGAGGACAGGATATTAAGGAGGGTATGATTGACAGTGTCAAAGGCAGTGTCAGATGTCAAGGAGGGTAAGGATGGAGTTCAAGTTCTGAGATATGGCCATGAAGAGGTTCTTAATGACCTTACGACAGTTTCAGTTCAGAGAAAAGGGCAGAAGCTGCACCAGATGGGATCTAAACTGGAGTTTGGAGTCCTGGGAAAGAAGAGAATGGAGGTAGCTGAGATGCAGCTGGAGTGAAGAGATGGCCTTTTGAGGATGAGGGAACCTCAACATGCTTGTATTGTGTGCAGATGGAGCCACAGGAGAGTGAGAGGTCAAAAAGAAGGGTGAGAGAAGGGGATGAATGAGGGCAAAGGCAGCCAGGAGGGGATGGATTTACAGTTTCAGTTTTGTCCAAGTTTCTAAAAACCCAATTTCTGCAGCTAATTGTCATATTTGTGTTTAACTCACCAGGGCTTCTTTGGCTCTGAGCCTTGGTGTAATATGCACAATATGTATACACAAAAATAGAAGTAAATAAATCACAGTTCTCATATAGCCACTCATTGGAAACCCCTAGATTTGAGCTCTTAAGGAGTGGAAACAGGGTGTCCTCCGTGGAGATTGTCAAAGGCTGGCTAGCCCTTTAAGGCAAGCTGGGTTCAGACTTGCTTGTGACTTAGCAGCTATTCCTCAGTCTCTCTGGTGATCTAGAAACTAGTGATCCAGCTGGGTGTGATGGAGCTTAACGAGAGACCCCAGCTGAGGGGGATCAGGGAGAGAACTCCTTAAATAGAGCTGTGAACTCAGTGGAGTGGGAGACCCAGGAGAGAGGAGCAAGGAGAGTTCTGGGGGAGGGCCTGGAAAAGTTAGGCTGGAAACCCTACAGGGA